AAAGATCATCACCCAGTCCAAGTGGGATTTATCCATGGTATGCAGGGATGGTTCAGTGTTCGCAAATCAATCAATGTGATACACCACATTAGCAAACTGCAGAAGAAAAACCATATGATTATCACAATAGATGCAGAGAGAGCATTTGATAAAATACAACACCCTTTCATGATGAAAACTCTAAGCAAACTGGGTATAGAAGGAACATTCTTCAACACAATTTATGACAAACTCATGGCCAGCATCCTATTGAATTGGGAAAAGTTGGAAGCATTTCCACTGAGATCTGGTACCAGACATGGATGCCAAATCTCATCATTACTATTCAATATAGTACTGGAAATTTTAGCTAGAACTATTAAGCAAGGAAAATAAGTCAAATGGAAACAAATTGGGAAGGAAGAAGTCAAACTATCCCTCTTTGCAGATGATATGATTATTTAGGAGATCCAACGAACTCTACTAAGAGACTATTGGAACTCATAGAAGAGTTTGACAAAGTAGCAGGATATAAAATCAGTACACAAAAATCAACAGCCTGTGTATACACAGATAATGTCATGGCTGAGAAAGAACCTCTAAGATCAATCCCATTCACAATAGTTACAAAAACAATCAAATACCTTGGAATAAACTTAACCAAGGATGTCAAAGATCTCTACGGTGAGAATTACAAAATTTAAAAAATAAACAGAAGAAGATACAAAAAAATGGAAAAATCTTCCATGTTCATGATTGGAAGAATCATTATAATCAAAATGTCCATTCTTCAAAAGCAATTTACAGACTAATGTGATACCAATCCAATAACCAAAGACATTCTTCTCAGATCTGGAAAAAATGTAGCTGAAGTTCATATGGAGGAACAGGAGACCTTGAATAGCTAAAGCAATCTTCTACAAAAAAAACAGCCTGAGGCATCACAATACCAGATTTCAAGATATACTACAAAGCAGTTATAATCAAAACAGAATGGTACTGGTACAGAAACAGATGGATAGACCAATGGAACAGAATGGAAATACCAGAAATCCATCCGAACATCTACAGCCAACTTGTATTTGATCAAGGAGCTAAAACCAATTCCTGGAGCAAGGACAGTTTCTTCAACAAATGGTGCTGGGAAAACTGGATTTCTACATGCGGAAGTATGAAGCAAGACCCCTACCTTACACCTTACACAAAAATCCATTCAACATGGATTAAAGATCGAAACCTACGACCGGCGCCATCAAATTATTAGAGAACAGCGGAGAAACCCTGAAAGATATAGGCACAGGCAAAGATTTCTTGAATTGACCCCAGAGGCACAGGCAGTCAAAGCCAGAATAACAATTGAGATTACATCAAATTGAGAAGTTTCTGTTCTGCAAAAGAAACAGTCAGGAAAGTGAAGAGGCAGCTGACAGAATAGGAGAAAATATTTGCAGATTATGCAACTGATAAAGGATTAATAACCAGAATCCACAAAGAGATCAAGAAACTCTACCACAACAAAACAAACAACCCACTTAAGCGATGGGCCAAGGATGTACATAGACATTTTTCAAAAGAATAAATCCAAACAGCCAACATACACATGAAAAAGTGTTCAGGATCACTAGCCATCAGGGAAATGCAAATCAAAACCACAATGAAGTTTCATCTCACCCCAGTTAGAATGGCTTATATACAGAAATCAACTAACAACATATGCTGGTAAGGAAGTGGGGAAAAAGCACACAAATCCACTGTTGGTGGGAATGCAAACTGGTAAGGCACTGTGGATGATAGTTTGTAAATACCTCAGAAATCTGAATATAGCCCTACCACATGACCCAGCCATCCCACTCCATGGAATTTACCCAAAGGAAATTAAATTGGCAAATAAAAGAGCTGTCTGCACCTCAGTGTTTATTGCAGCTCAATTCACAATAGCTAAGACATGGAATCAGCCTAAATGCCCATCTATTGTAGACAGGATAACGAAATTATGGGATATGTGCTCTATGGAATACTACACAGCGGTAAAAAAAAATGAAATCCAGTCATTTGCAAAACAATGGAGGAATCTGGAAAACATCATGCTGAGTGAAATAAGCCAGTCCCAAAGGGACAGATATCATATGTTGTCCCTGAGAGTTAATTGTTAAATTAACAACAGGAGTCACTGTGAACTAACTTCCCATGTAGGACCTCTATCGTCAGTGAGTTGTATTATGACAGTTAACTATAAAACTAGTTCTCAAAAATTTGTGTGTGTGTGTGTGTGTGTGCAAACTGTTGAAATCTTTACTTAGTATAGAGTTGGTCTTCTGTGTACAAAGTTAACTGAAAATATATTTTTTTTAACTTTTATTTAATGAATATAGATTTCCAAAGTACAGCTTATGGACTACATTGGCTTCCTCCCACCCCCCGTGAAAATATATCTTAATGGAGAATGGGACTGGGACGGAGAGAGGGAGGAGGAGGAAGGGTGGGAGTGTGGGTGGGAGGGCAGGTCTGGTGGACAGAGTAACTATATCCCTAAAGTTGTACTTATTAAATTTGTATTCCTTAAAAAATAAATTAAAAAAGTGTTTCTAGATTTAAATCGCTCTAATTCTTCTTGGTACATGGTGGGAGTTTATAGTCTTAGAAATACAAAAATACTTGATTTTAAAGATCTGTTTATTCCATGTGTATTAGAGTGAACTGATTTCTTATATTCTGTCTTCCTTTGGCATAAAATTCAGAATTTTTCTTTTATCTCTTCCATATATCTTACAGTTCTTTATAGGAAACTTGATGCAAGGGACTTGAATATGTGAGGACTGATCATATGGTGAGAAGAGAGGGAATGGGCAGAAGTGTTTGAGGAAGGGTTGGGGTAAGGAGTTGGAAAAATAATATATTCACAAAATATGTATCCTAGTCAAGCCTATTGGCCACAAAGTCTATGCATAATATTTTAAACTCTTAAGTTGACTTTTGGCCATATTCTAAAATTGTGGAATGCTAAGTTCCTACTTAAATTGAGAATGAGTGAATTGTTTTAGTTTGGTGCTGTTAATTTGTGATATGCTGTTGTTCATTTACAAAATGAAGCAAAAGAGTTATTAAACGGATGATGGAGTTGAGATGGTGGGTGATTTTTAAACCTCTCTCTCAAATCAGTACTTTGCAGTGTTTTGTGAATTACTAGCATATTAACTACACCATTATTGAATGATGTTAGTGTGGCTTGTTGCCTGTTTCAGTTCCACAGATTTTCTCCACTGACATTTGTGAGTGTAATGGTAAATACATTTTGGATGATGATCAGATATTACTGGCCCCTGTTTGATTTAATTCTCTTTGGAAATATCCTGGAACTGAAATGCTAATAAGTGGACATGGCACAACTTATATGATGCGTAAAATATGTATTATCTTGCTTTGCTCTACTATTGAAAATGTATTTTAAAAAATTAAATTTACAGTTTAAAAATACTGCTCATCATATTATTGAACAGTTGTTTTCTTGAGTTGCCATCCGTGATTTTGTGGATGTCTCTTGATTCTCATTTTTAGATCAGAATAAGTTGAGGCAGTTTAAGAACTTAGTCTACATGTACATGTGTCTGTTACTAGTTGAAATAGTATGCAAAAGAGAATACTTATTAATACCATAAAATTTTTTAGAATCTGAGGAATCTTAATGCGTTATTTGAAACATGTAATACTTTTCTGACTTTTATTTATTAATTGACATTAGTTTCCACATCTATATTGTTCTGTTAGTCTGTATGCAAAAAATCACAGAATCAAGTATAGCACACAGTTGTACAGATTTTTGTGTTTTTTTTTTTGCCATCTTTCTCAGTATCATCAGAATTGATATTCATATATGGAATCCACATTTGTTGAGTGAAATAATGAGGTGGAACAGTGTATTTTCAGGATAGTTTATCTGTTGGCTATTTGTTAATTGTATTTATTTTGCAAAGTAGAGATCTCAGTATTAACCCCAAAGTTCTCAAACTTAGTGTCATTAATAAGGGACCACCTGACATCTTGTGCTCCTCATGTGGTGTAATATGAACTGTGCTGAATTGCTTAAAGTGTTTAACCTGAATCCAATCAGACTACTCAGCTTAAATTCCAGCTTACATAAAAGATAGTAACAAGTTTCATGTCTAGGAAAGAATCAAAGCAAAAATATGGAATATTCTGTCAGACAGCTGGTGCAATTTTTAAGTCATTTCATGGAAAATAAAAGTAATGTGTGGGGACTGCTGAAGAATACAGTAACTAAAGGAATATAACCATCATGCTGCAATCTGAACCTTGTTTGAATCCTGGTTGAAATTTTTAAAAAAGCTACAAACATAAAAGATGTTTTGGGGGAAGTTCTGAAATTTGAATACAGATTGGATATTGGATGATACAAAAGAGCTGTTTATTTTTCTGTAGTGTGTTACTTGAATTGAAATTATATTGGGAAAAGCCCTTAACTTTAAGAGATATTGAAGTATGTATATAGAAATAGTATTATGTTTATAACTTATTTTGAGATGATTCAACCCAAACAAAATTATTCCTAGTAAGCAATACCTGTTTTGGTCAGCCTGCACAAAGGCAGGTGTGATCGCCCACCAAAGAATTTATCTGGGTGTTAAGACAGATTACTCATACTCATTGGTGACTGCACTGTGACAAATTTATTTAGAACTCAGCAAACTAAGAATTCCCAGGAAGGGAAGGAAGTGCTTATTTGATGACTAAGGGAGCCAACAGGAGTGGGGCACTAGTGAGACTGACTGGGAGAATGGACTATAGTTGTGATTACAGGGTGAAGGATGGAACTGTGCTTTTTTTGTTAGACTACCTATAGATAGAAGTAACAAATATGAAGAAATGTTAACCATTGGATGGAGATGATGGATATATGGGTGTTTATTTTTCTCTTTCAGCTCTTCTGTGTGTTAGAAAATTTTCATAAGAATGTTTACAGGTAAAATTAAGAAGGATTTAGAATTATGTGATTTGTATTTTAGCAACCAAAGGATACAATGAGATTAGATGAGACGATGCTGGTTAAACAGTTGCTGCCAGAAATCTGCCATTTTCTTCACACCTGTCGTGAAGGAAACCAGCATGCAGCTGAACTTCGGAATTCTGCCTCTGGGGTTTTATTTTCTCTCAGCTGCAACAACTTCAATGCAGTCTTTAGTCGAATTTCAACCAGGTTAGTGTATAAATCCACATAATTGCAAAGTAGCATGCAGCAGAAAGTGGGCTGCGTGCTAACTGTATGTACCAATGTGTTAAGTGTATGTACCACTCTCTCATTTATTGAATATTTTCAGCATATACTATGCTGTCCTATCCTGACAGTAACCTTGGGAGGTAGCCGATATTTGCTCCTTTTTGCAGGTAAGCAAACTAGGATCCCATAGAGTTAAGGAGATATGCCTAATGAGACAGGACCTCAAATTTCTCAGTCTGGCTTCAGAATCTGTATAGTTTCATTATACCAGTTGTATATCTGTACTTCTGTTTTAGCCATATTTTGATAAAATCCTTTGTATACTAAATACTGTATGCCTTACAATTTTATTGTATGGGCAGACATTTGGTGCAATGGTTAAGAAGTTGCTTGGGGGTCCAGTGCTGTGGTGTAGCAGGTAAAGCTGCCACCTACAGTGCCAGCATCCCATATGGGCGCTGGTTTGAGTCCCGGCTGCTCCACTTCATGACCCAGCTCTCTGCTATGGCCTGGGAAAGCAGTAGAAGATGGCCCAAGTGCTTGGGCCCCTGTACCCGCGTGGGAGACTGGGAAGAAGCTCCTGGTTTCTGGCTTCAGATCAGCGCAGCTCCAGCTGTTGCAGCCAACTGCGGAGTGAACCAGCAGATGGAAGCCCTCTCTCTCTCTCTGCCTCTCCTTCTCTGTGTAACTCTGACTTTCAAATAAATAAATCTTAAAAAAAAAAAAAAAAAAAAAAAGGTTGCTTGGGATGCTTGCATCTCATATGGTAGTGCCTGGGTCAAGTCCCAAGCTCCCTGGGAATGCATACCCTGGGATGCAGCAGATTCTGGCTCAGGTTCCTAGGTGCCTGCTACCCACATGGCTTTGGCCTGGCTTAGCCCTGGCTATTGCTAGCGATGGGGGAGTGCCAGCGAATGGAAGATGTCTCTCTCTCCCTCTGCTTTTCAAATAAAGTGAAAATAATTAAATAAATATATTTCAAGAAACATATCAAAAATATAATTTAAGCTTTAATTAATGATTCAAAATCATTTTGTGAGTGTTACTTGTGATTTACTACAGATAGAGCCTAGATGGTACCTGTGGGGTAGAATCCTGAGATTAGCAAATAACTTTGGAACTTCATTTTGTATAAATGTTGTGGTTTCTCGTACAAATAAAGTTAAATGAGTTCTTAATTATTACAAAATAGGAAGTATAACACAAATCCCTTAGCAATTTAGTGAATTGAAGATTGATACAGGATATTAAAATGATCTGCTTATTGGTGCCTACATTTTTGATTCTGTGAATAATGGACTTGAGTTGGTCAAATTGACTAATTGATTTGTTTTCCAATAAGTGAGAATGAGAATGTGTACTATAACTTGAGAATTTGTGCCATGGTGTTTTGGGGAATTAAGTTAACTTCAAAATCCTGTGATCTTTTTAATAGAAAATGACATTTCTGGCCAGTGCCGCAGCTTACTAGGCTAATCCTCTGCCTGCAGCACCAGCACCCTGGGTTTTAGTTCCGGTCGGGGGCCGGATTCTGTCCTGGTTGCTCTTCCAGTCCAGCTCTGTGCTGTGGCCCGGGAGTGCAGTGGAGGATGGCCCAAGTGCTTGGGCCCTGCACCCGCATGGGAGACCAGGAGGAAGCTCCTAGCTTTGGATCGGTGCAGTGCGCCAGCCATAGCAGCCACTTGGGGGGTGAACCAATGGAAAAGGAAGGCCTTTCTCTCTGTCTCTCACTCCTCTCTCTCTCACTGTCTAACTCTGCCTGTCAAAAAAAAATAATAAATTAAACAAAATTATATTTCTATAATTTTGTTGCTAGGCAACAGTATTTTTCAACTTTAACAGAATTCCTGAACCAAGGAAAATTAAAATTTTATTTAATGGTATATGATTGATAATTTTGGGTAACATTCATATGATAGAACAGTGTTTCCATGAACTGTATTAACATTCTGTATTCTGAGTAATAGTACACTGATTTAACCAGCAAAGTAATAAGTTGTTAGGGAATGGGAAGCTGGGAAATGATTACAAAACAAGCTAACCCACAAAACCAAAACTTTTTTCCATTGAGGTAACTACTAGACCAGCCTCATTGAAACAATCTTGTATTGAAGGTAGAAAATGATCAAAAGAGTGAAATGTGTTTTAACCTACTTCTGAGTTAGTAGCTGAGTAAAATATAAGTATGCCACCTTTGAAAACTCTAGAAATTTTCTAGTCATCAAGTGTTTTGCTTATTGGGCATTGTACAGTACTAGTACATGTGAAAATAGACAACTTTCCTTTATTTCATGACTCCAGTTCACTGTCTATTGTCAGAATATCAGTTGTCTAAAGTTTCCTTAGTTTTCAGGGGGCAGACTGCTCAGAAATGGGATCTATGAAATAACATGTTTCACACAGCTGTATTTGCCTTTTCATTTAGCTAGTGTCAGAAATAGGAGCTGATCTTGTTCACGGATCACTGACCTAAAAGACCATTATGATGGTTTAATTTAGGTGGTTTAATTTAGGTGGAGGCATCTTATGTCATAGCAGTAGGCCCTTAAAAATATGTTACTTAAATGACAGTTTTTTTTCTGAAGATTGATCATATATTTTATATATAATAGATGGATCAGTGTTATGAAGATGTTTTAAGCTTAACTATTATCCTTGCCAACAAATGTTTGTCCTTTTAGATTTTTTGTTTTTATATTTGATTTATGTGTATTTTATTTGAGAAGCACATAGAGACAGAGAGCAAGCTTCCACCCGCTTTTTCCCTCCCTGAATGCCCACAGTAGCTGAGACTAGGCCAGGCTGAAGCCAAGAGGTAGACACTCAATCCTAGTCTTCCATGTGGGTGGCAGGACCACATCAGCCATCAACTGCTGCCTTCGAGGGTGTGCATTAGCAAGAGGCTGGAAGCAGGCGAAGAGCTGGGGCTTCAACCCTGACATTCTGATACAGGATGTGGGCATCCCAGCTGGTGCCTAAACCACCAGACCAGAGGTCTGCCCTTGAGGTTTGCTTTTTATACATGTATTTCTGTCTTTTTCTTTAGGGGAAGATAGGCTCTAGATCTTATGATGGATTTTTTAATCTGCTAAAGTATACCATGTTCTGTGCTCTTTGATGTAGAAGATGAACAGGTTTCTCCACAGAATTACTGTACAACTGCACTAGATGTAGCTGTTTTGTCAGGAAGTGCCCTTCCAGAAGCAGCAGACTTAGTGACTTTAAAAGTTATTTGGTCTTTATAAGTCTACTCTTAAAAAAAAAGATTTATTTTATTTACTTATTTGAAAGGAAGAGCTACAGAGAAGCAGAGGCAGAGAGAGGTCTTTCATCTGCTGGTTCACTCCCCAGATGCAACAGCTGGAGCTGTGCCGATCCAAAGCCAGAAGCCAGGAGCTTCTTCTGGGTTTCCTACGCAGGTGCAGAGGCCCAAGGACTTGGGCCATCTTCTGCTGCTTTCTCAGGTGATAGCAGAGAGCTGGATCAGAAGTGAAGTAGCCAGGAGTTGAACCAGTGCCCATATGGGATATCAGCACTGCAGGCGGTTGCTTTACCTGCTACACCACAGCACTGGTCCCACAAATCTACTTTCAAAAATGATTTCTTAATCTTTTAAAATAGTTTTTGATTTATGTTTTTCATCATTTAAAGCACACTTAATATTCTCTTTAATACTGTTAAATTTTTCTTATATACAATTCACATTTTTAAAAGATTTATTTATGTATTTAAAAGGTAGTTATAGAGATTGATCTTCCATCTACTGGTTCACTCCCCAAATGGCCACAATGGTCAGAGCTGGACCAGGCTGAAGCCAGAAGCTTCTTTCCAGTTCTCCCACTTGGGTACAGGGGCCCAAGGACTTGTGCCATCTGCTGCTGCTTTCCCAGGCTTGTTAGCAGGTTGCTGGATTGGAAGTGGAGCAGTCAGGACTGGAACTGATGCCTGTATGTGGCTTTACTTGCTATGCCTCAACACCAGGCCCCACAATTTACTCTTATTCAGTGAATTCTTTCTGTTTTGTTATCTGTGATTGCAAATCTATCTTTAGTGTGATCTGTATTTTCTTTGGGAATCTTTTTTCCTGAGCTATGGGAGTTTTCCAGTGATAATTTTGCTAGGTGTGGTATCCAGCTCTAACCTTTTTTTTTTTTTTTTTTTAATTTCTCATCCTCAGGCATTATGACTAGTATACATTTGGACCCTACACCCTTATAAAGTAACAGCTTTAAGCCACTTTTTTCCCCTATTCAAAGCTCAGGCAGAGCAGATAAACTTCTTTGTACTGGTTGATTTTATTTCTTCTTTTTGGGAGGGTATCCCATAAACTATTCATGAACTTTGGGGTGTTGTGTTCTGTGCAGTGCCCCAAGTTCTGATCCCTGCATCATCAGTGTGAAGGCTTTTTCCAGTCCAGTGTGGGTGTTAAGCCCCAAACTCCTCGGTTAGGGAGATAAAAACCTCCTTTATGTTCATATGTCTTTGGTTGCAGCGTGAGACTATGCCCTTACTCTGGTGTCCAGTTTCCTCTGCTTCTGAAGCTGGGTGGGTGGGTAGCGTTTTCCTTGGTTTCTGTGCGTGTGAAGACATCTCTGTGTTGTTCAGTCCCCTTGGCCTTTCTGGATGTTGTAGTGTTGGGTTTCTACCTTCGTTTCTTTCGCTCAGTCTATCCCTCATTTTATGTCTGTGCTTCAGAGATGGCATTTGAGCATCACAACATGTCCCTATGTAATAACTGGTCTGTAGAGGGGGTCTAACTTTCCTTCCAGTTTTCACAAACCACAAGTCAGTTCTTCAAAAGTTAGTGTTGCTGACTATGTTGTGTTTTCTAAGGATGCATCCTCCATGTTTCTAAGCTCTTTGTGGCAGCTACGGAATGTTTAGTATGTAAATGAGCGTTGAGGATCTTCTTATTCCCAGCTTGAACTGCTAATCTTTTCTCACCCTGATACCAGTGCTTTAGTGTAAGTGGTTAGAAAACTTTTAATGCTAGTTTTAGGCTGATAGAGGCTAAAGTGAGTGAAATGAGAAATTTGAAAAGAAATACAGTTGATTTCATTTTTATCACCTGAAGATTTAATGTGATAATAAGATCATTTTAAGCTGCTCTAGAAGGGCTGGTGCTGTGGCATAATAGCCTGAGCCTCTGCCTGCCGTGCTGGCATTGACATCCCGTTTGGATGTGGGTTTGTGTCCTAGCTGCTCCTCTTCCAATCCAGCTCTCTGCTATGGCCTGGGAAAGCAGTAGAAGATGGCTCAGGTACTTGGGACCCTGGACCCATGTGGGAGGCTTGGAAGAAGAAGCTCCTGGCTTCTGGCTTCAGATTGGTCCAGCTGTGTCCACTGCAGTCATTTGGGGAGTGAAACAGTGGGTGGAAGAACTTTCTCTTTGTCTCTCCCTCTCTTTGTACTGCTGCCTCTCAGATAAAAATAAAAATCATAAAAAAACCGCACTAGTTAGAATTCAAGTTAATATTATGAATAAGTGCTTTTTCACCACTTCTCTCTTTTGTTGTGTTTATAGGAACTAGTAATTCCTTTGTCCTGTTTATCTTTCTCTGATTTCTATTAATTGAAATAATGAGTAAATCTTATTGGGTGGCACAATTTAATAGGCTAGTGAAAACAGCTTTTGAGAGTCTAATCTTTTTGGTGTTAGTGCAAAATGGAAGGAAATTTGAATTATTTTTATTGAGGCTTAAGTGAATTTCTTTATCAATGAAAAAACATCTACACATTTGTTAAGTGTTAATTTTTTCTTTATTTCTGATAAGTTTATATTCAATGTAAGAGAAGTTTTGGATTTAGAAGGCTTTTTTTTGTATGTTTGTTTAATGATTTATTCATTTATTTGAAAGGCAGGGCTGAGCCAGGTTGAAGTCAGGAGTCCTGAACTCAATCTACGTCATCCACATAGGTGGCAGGGGTTCAGTACTTGTGCCATCTTTTGCTACTTTCCCAGGCATATTAACAAGGAGCTGGCTTGGAACCCATATAGGATACCAGTGTGGCAGGCAGCAGCTTAACCCACTGTGCCACAATGCAAGTCCCTAGAAAGCTTTTAATCTTATGAACTTAGAATCTCTTTTGAAGGAGGATCAAATAATAATACAAATACATTGGCCGGTGCCACAGCTCACTTGGCTAATCCTCCACCTGTGGCGCTGGTACCCTGGTTTCTAGTTCCGGTTGGGGCGCCGGATTCTGTCCCAGTTGCTCCTCTTCCAGTCCAGCTCTCTGCTGTGGCCTGGGAAGGCAGTGGACGATGGCCCAAGTGCTTGGGCCCTGCCTCTGCATGGAAGACCAGGAGGAAGCACCTGGCTCCTAGCTTGAGATCGGCGCAACACACCGGCTGTAGCAGCCATCTGGGGGGTGAACCAACAGAAGGAAGACCTTTCTCTCTGTCTCTCTCTCACACTGTCTAACTCTGCCTGTCAAAAAAAAAAAAAAAAAAAACAAATAATATAAATACATGTACAAGCTGGAAAGGCAAATAAAAAAAAAGGCTTGTCCACTTTTTTAATGCAAAGTAAATGTATCCTGTCAATGTAGGTAAAATATTCATGTTTCTGAAGTCTAATTTATATGAATATAAGTTAATAAAATTAAACTTTATTATATTTTTAGTTTGAAATAGGAATTTTAAATATTTCATTGTAAAGGGGTTGGCGTGCTGTGACGCAACAGGTTAAAGCCCTGGCCTAAAGTGCTGGCATCCTATATGGGTGCCAGTTCTGGTCCTGGCTGCTCCACTTCCCATCCAGCTCTCCACTATGGCCTGGGAAGGTAGTAGAAGATGGCCCAGGATCTTGGGGCCCTGCACCCACGTGGGAGACCCCAGGGGAAGCTCTTGGCTCCTGGCTTCCGATCAGCACAGCTCCAGTTGTTGCGATCATCTGAGGTGTGAAGACCTCTCTCTCTGTCTCTGCCTCTCTCTGTAACTCTGTCTTTCAAATAAATAAATCTTAAAAAAAAATTCATTGTAGAAAACTTAAAAAAATTTGCATAGCAGAGAGAATAGTATTTCAAATCCCTATGTATCTTAACTGTTTCAGCTTTTTGCATGCTTTGATTCTTGATTTATCTCTCCCCTCCTTCTTCAGTACTTTAATGCACACCCCAGTTAGCATATTTTACCTCCATGTATTTCAGTATATAGCTCTAATAATAGATTTTAAAAATGTAACTGTAATACCATGGTCACACCTGGCAAAAAATAAATTCCTTAATATCATCTATTACTAAGTTTGTATTTAATTTTTCCCTATCATTTAAAAAATGGCTCTTCATTTGATTTGTTCAAATCAGGATGCAAAATTATTCATAGTTTGTAATTGATCGGTGTTTCTAGTAAGTCTCTCTTAATCTGTATCATTTCTTTTTTTTTTTTTTTAAAGATTTATTTATTTATTTGGAAGGCAGAGTTACAGAGAGGCAGAGGCAGAGAGAGAGATCTTCCATCCACTGATTCACTCCCCAAATGGTTGCAATGGCTATGCTGGGCTGATCTGAAGCCAGGAGCTTCTTCCAGGTCTCCCACATGCATGCAGGGGCCCAAAGACTTGGGCCATCTTCTACTGCTTTCCCAGGCCACATAGCAGAGAGCTGGTTCAGAGTGGAGCAACTGGGACTCAAACTGGCGCCCATATGGGATGCCGGCACTTCAGGAGACGGCTTTACCTGCTTGCTATGCCACAGCACCAGCCCCTCTATCATTTATTATCTGTCCCTTCCCAATTTTTTTCCATGCTATTTGTTGAACTGGGTTGTATTTGCCTTGTAAAAGTTTCCACATTCTGTAGATGGCTGGGTTTGTGACTGGATTCCTGCGGGTGGACAAGCATACATTCACATGCTCTGTGAGATTCTTATGTCTCATCAGAAAACAGTGCTGTCATCCCAGTTTGATGCTGTGATAGATCGTTTGGTTTGGGTCTTGTAAATATTATCCTTTTCTTGTGAAGTTTCCCATAAAATTTTTATTTGTATGTATGCCTACACTGATGATCGGTGCCTGGATCCATTATTTTGCTGGGGGCTGCAAAATGATAAATTTTTTATTCTAGAATTCATTCTTAAATTTTAAATTGCTATTTTTATAAAACATTTCTGCTTTATTATTTATTCAGTTATATTGCAATACAGTCTATATAAGGAATACACTATGGCTACTTTCTGAGTTGGTTATTTATTTTTAAAAAATTATTTTATTTATTTGAAAGAGTTACAGAGAGAAGTAGAGACACAGAGAGAGGTCATCCATCCCATGGTTCACTCCCCAGATGGCTGCAATGGCTGAAGCTGTGCCAATCCGAAGCCAGGAGCTTCTTCCAGGTTTCCCACATGGGTGCAGGGGTCCACAGACTTAGGCCACCTTCCACTGCTATCTCAGGCCATAGTAGAGAGCTGGATCAGAAGAGGAGCAGCCGGGACTCCATCTGGGTCTCCCATGTGGGTGGCAAGGATCCGAGAACTTGAGTCAATACCTGCTGCATTAGCAGGCAGTTGGATGAAAGTGGAGGAGCTAGGACTTGAACTGGCGTTCTGATAGGGATGCAGGCATTACAAGTGGCAGCTTAACTCACTAGTTGTACCACAGCACCCACCCCAGTTATTCATTTTCCGAATGAGTTGATATCCTAAGAACTGCAGGAGTTTACCTGTGAATTTGTTCTTCAGTATTAATTATTCCTGGCATATGTTTTCAGTTGTTGTGGACCTAAGTCTTTTTTTGCTCAAATTACTCCATTTTAAACAGTTGTATGGCCTTTTAAATGCTTATCTGGATGATCTTTGACAACTCTGATAGTTTTGATAGTTAACTTGTTTTCAGGCTCAAAGTGACCAAGGTTCCTCCTATACATCTCCTGCCTCTATCCTGAAACGAACTAATTTTCCCAGAGAGCCAAATAGGGAATATTGTTTAGGTATCTCATTCTTAAAGATAGGAATCCTAAGTTTACTGGATTATCACTGCTTATTTTATCATCTCCCTTAAATTGTATTCCTGTAGAGTTATATAAGAAATATTTATTCCATTTTTGTTATGTATGTATATATATATATATATATATATCTTCATGAACTCATCTTTAGAGGGAAAACAGCTCTTGAAATCAGAATATTAGAATGTTCTAAGACTTAACCTGATAATTATTTTTGGTTCTTTTCAGGTTACAAGAATTGACTGTTTGTTCAGAAGACAATGTTGATGTTCATGATATAGAATTGTTACAATATATCAATGTGGATTGTGCAAAATTAAAACGACTTCTGAAGGGTAGGTTTCAATAATTGATGTATTTGAAATTAATCACTCTGGGTCAAAAGCTAGAATTATGGATGTAGTAATTGTGTTGAACTAGTACATTGAATTGATTTTTTTTTTAAAGAAATCTTTTTTTTTTTCTTTTTTTTTTTTTATCTTTTATTTAATGAATATAAATTTCCAAAGTACGACTCATGTGTTACAATGGCTTCCCCCCCCGTACCGTCCCTCCCACCCACAACCCCCCCCTTCCCACTCCCTCTCCCCCTCCATTCACGTCAAGATTCATTTTCGATTATCTTAATATACAGAAGATCAGCCTAGCATACCTTAAGTAAGTATTTCAACAGTTTGCTCCCACACAGAAACATAAAGTGAAAAATAATAGATGATTTTTTTTAAATGATGATGAAATCAGATCAGACCTATTGTCATGTTTAATCCCAGTGAGAGTCAAGTTGGGAATTGATAATTTTTTTTTTTTTCAGAAGATCAGTTTAGTGTACATTAAGTAAAGATTTCAATCGTTTGAACCCCCATAGAAACACAAAGTGAAATTTACTGTTTGAGTACTCGTTATAGCATTAAGCCTCAGTGTACAGCACGTTAAGGACAGAGATCCTACATGAGGAGTAAGTGCACAGTGACTCCTGCCGTTGACTTCACAAATTGACACTCCTGTTTATGGCATCAGTAATCTCCCTATGCACCAGTTATGAGTTTCCAAGGCTATGGAAGCCCCCTGAGTTCTCCGACTCTTATCTTGTTTAGACATGGTCATAGTCAAAGTGGAGGTTCTCTCCTCCCTTCAGAGAAAGGCACCTCCCTCTTTGAAGACCTGTTTAAAGAAATCTTTATTTGAAAGGCAAAGTGACAGGGAGTGGGAGAATGGGGGGCAGGGAGAGATCTTCCATTTGCTGGTTCACTCTCCAAATGGCTACAATGACCCAATGACCTGAGCTGGGCCAGGCTGAAACCAGGAGCCAGGTACTCCATTCTGGTCTCCCATTTAAGTGGCAGGGACCCAAGTACTTGGGCCATTTTCTCTGTTTTTTTTTTTTTTTCCAGACACATTATCAGGAAGCTGGATCAAGAGGAGAAGAGCTGGGACTTGAACTGGTGCTCTGATATGATATGCTAGCATTACAAGTGGCAGGCTTAACCTGGTGTGCCACACAACTGGCTCCAAATTGGTTGTTATAATATAAAGATCATTGTACAATGGTCAGTAATACATATAAAGATCATTGTAAAATGGTCAGTAATACATATGATTCCCTAATTTTTGAAACTTTGAAGATGATATTGTAGAGAAGAAAAGTATTGTAAATCTTGGCAATGGAAAGGTTTTTTTTTTTTTTTTTTTGACAGAGTTGGACAGTGAGAGAGATAGAGACAGAGAGAAAGGTCTTCCTTCTGTTGGTTCACTCTCCAAATGGCTGCTATGGCCGGCGCTGTGGTCAGTCCAAAGCCAGGAGCCAGGCTCTTCCTCCTGGTCTCCCATGTGGGTGCAGGGGCCCAAGCACCTGGGCCATCCTCCACTGCACTCCGGAGCTACAGTAGAAAGCTGGACTGGAAGAGGAGCAACCAAGACTAGAACCCTGCGCCCACGTGGGATGCTGGTGCCAAAGGCGGAGGATTAGCCAAGTGAGCCACGGTGCCGGCCCTGGAAAGTTTTTCAACCACAATTTTTGCTTTTAATAAAGGAAATGCAAGGATGCTATTATTTAATTTTCCTGGAATTTGATCTCTTGAGCAGAGCTATACTTATAAAGGTTATCTGTTTAGTTATTGTAGTCCTTAAAGAAGATGGTCTTTAGCAGGATGTCAACATTTTAGTGCAGAATGAACCAGGAGATTGATCTTAGAGCAAGAAGTGGAATTGACCCAGGGATCTGGTTTCTGACATTTCTATTTTCAGCTCTTACTGACTGGCTATTGCAGCATTATAAAGTGTTTTAGCAATTTAGTGACAGTTTTGCTTCCTCATAGAACACGTCAGTAGGAGTCCTCCATGGGGATATTTTAACACCTAATATGTGATTTTAAAACTTTGGGAAGAAGGCTTTAGGTTTATGGACCTCAGCTAATGTGAACATGAAACCTTGTCATGTGTAGTTCACATTTCATTTTACTTTGTGTTTTGATGAAGGAATTGTCAGTAATGTAAAAGATGGAGATTGAATTATGTTAACTTTGAAAACTTCAGTAATTCTGCAGTGTAATTTTTGATTGCCTTGTTAAGTTCTCTTTAAATTTGCTATTAACTATTTCACCACAGATATAGAAAGGTTGTATTTATACAGATAAATAATGTAAAACTGTTCCCTTTATATTACCCTTGTTCAGAATTTTTTGTTTTAGATCTTTACCATTGTAAAACCAAGCAACAGTTAAATATATTTTTAGTAACATTGATAAAAGAAAACATGGATCATTTTAGCTATTATTTGTTCTAGATTATAGTAAACTGCTCTTCATTGTTGAAGTCAGCAAGATTTAAATATCTATCATTAAACTCCGAGCAATTAAGGAACTGAATGGTAAAATTTTGAGATGTCTTTTGTGAAATAAATTAAAAATTTTAAATGGGATTTTATGGTTTCTCATTATTCAGAGACATTCTAGCAATAAATCTATTCCAGTTTTCCTAAGAGTAGGTGTTTGTTTAAGACAATAGTTTTTGTACAAATGTTCAATATGTAGTGATCAACTGAGATGATTTTCCTTGCCCAACCAAATGTGTGGCTAAATGACTGAACTTTCTTCTTCCAATAAATAAATACCATCATTGTCATCTTCTGATAATTGAATGACTTTCTTTTCTTCTTCAGATAAATGAATGACTTTTCTTCTTCCTCTTCCTTCTCTTTTTTTCCTACCCCCACCTTATTTTTAAATTTGAGAGTCAGAAAAAGATAGATCTCCCAATCCACTAATTTATTTTCCAAATACCTGCAATGAGTAAGGCCAAAACAGGTCAAAGCCAGGAGCTAGAAATTCACTTCAGGTCTCACATGTGAGGGTCAGGAACCTAAATATTTGAGCCATCAACTGTTGCCTCCCAGGGTGTTCATTAGCAGGAATTGAGAGTGGAGCTAGGACTCAAACCATGCACTCTTGATACAGTGTGCGAGTCACAACCAGCATCTGAACTTCTAGGCCAGGGCCTACCCAGTGACTTCCTTTTACATTGAGGTAACTTCCCCACTGAGTGCAGCTTCCTCATGAACGTAAATTTAGAGCACATGCTGATAAATGCTGTGGTATAGCAGGTAAAGCTGCTACCTTCAGTGCCAGCATCCCGTATGGGCACTGGTTTGAGTCCTTGTTGCTCCATTTCTGATCCAGCTCTCTGCTGTGGCCTGGGAGAGCAGTAGAAGATGGCCCAAGTCCTTGGGCCCCTGCACCTGCATGGGAGACCTAGAAGAGGCTCCAGGCTCCTGGCTTCAGGTCAGCCCAGCTCTGGACATTGTGGCTATTTGGTGAGTGAACCAGTGAATGGAAGACTGACCTCTCTCTCTGTCTCTCTCTCTGTCTCTGTCTCTCTCTCTATTTCTCTCTCTGTCTCTCTGTGTGTATGTGTGTGTGTTTGTCTCTCTGCCTCTCAAAAAATAAATAATAAAGTGAAAAATCAGCAAAAATAGCTCTAGGCTACAATGGTAAAAGGAATGGAAACTTCCTATAATGAGTAATAAAAATAGTAATGTTTTAAATTCCGTTAAACAGGATCTGTAGGGAAACTGTGTATAAGAAAACATGTTATATGCTGGGATTACAAAGATTAATAAAGTATAGTAACTGACCCTAAGGAGCTCATAGCATAGGTTATGGGCATGTATTTTATTAGCAAATTATTTGCCAAACAATATGATAACTACATAGGGTAAGGATAAAGTTAGAGGAAGTATATATTTGGGGTTCGAGATGTTAACTGGAAAAGAGCATAATATAAAGGTGCGAACATAGGTGAGATCACATTAATAAAAACATAGCAACATTTATTGTATTTTTTGTATATTGCTGTGTAATTTTTATACCTTCCTCATCAATTTGTAAAATAACCCTGTGAAGCAGTGCTAGTATTGTTATTCATTGTATAGATGAGGAAACTCAGGCTTAAGTGACATTTCCTAGGTCTTAGAGCTAGTAATTGTCCTTGTCAAGATTCAGTTCATATCTGTCCATGTCTAAAACCAAAGTACTCAACTGCCTCACTGTTGTGCTTATGGTTTATGAGGTTTTTATATTAGTGGCTGTGGGAAGTGATGAAAAAGCTTTAATGTGGGGAATATCTTGAGCAATATTTTATTTTAGACACATTACTTTGCTTGAACTTTGTAGAATGGTTTGGTAGAAGGTTAATGGACTTCTGGGACTTAGTTCTGTAATAATGTAAGAGGACAGTAATGAGGGTAGTAGCCAATTTGATAGCTATTTAGGAAGTAGACTACCTAGCATTTGGTAAGCAACTTAAATAAGAGGTTAGAGAGGTACCACCAAATAGTGCAGAGCATGCTGGTTAAAGCAGCAGCGGGAAGGAAGGGTTGATGGTACAGAAAGGCATGGTGAGGAAAATGACTAATTCAGTTTTAGATCTTCTGATTTTGAGATACGAGTAGGATGTCCAATTAGAAGCTTGTAGAATTGAATAAAAGGTACATACATTGGAATTGAGAATAGATGATTGTGTTAAACACATTTCAAAAAGGTACAATTGATTAAACAAAACAAAAAGACACTGAAGTATAATGCTATTATGTGGAAATGAAAGAAGAATGTGAGCAAAAGAAAATTCAAAGGATATATTTTTAAACTGATGTGAAAAACAAGGTGCTATTTATAAATCCAGAAAAAGAAATTCCTATTTAGAAGTTTCTTCAGATAATTGCTTTTGTTACTCAAGGACTCATCTCTTAGAGAAAGGTTTTCTCTCTCTCTCTCTCTCTCTCTCCCCCTCCCTCCCTCCCTCCCTCCCTTCCTTCCTTCCTTCCTTCCTTTCTCTCTCTGTCTCTCCCTCCCTCCCTCCCTCTCCCTTCCTTCCTTCTTTTCTTCCCCTCCCCCTCCCTCCCTTCCTCTTTCTCTCTGTCTCTTTCTCTTTCTCTTTCCCTCCCTCCCTCCTTCCCTCCCTCCCTTCCTTTCTTTCTCTCTCTCCCCCTCCCTCCCTCTCCCTCCCTCCCTTCCTTCTTTTCTTCCCCCCCTCCCCTCCCCTCCCCTCCCCTCCCCCTCCCCCTCCCCCTTCCCTCCCTTCCTTCCTTCCTTGTTACAGACACAGAGAGAGAGAGAGAGAGAGATCTAATCCACTGGTTCTCTTCCAAAATGACTGCAGTGGCTGAAGCTGGGCTGATCAAGCCAGGAACTTCTTCCAGGTCTTCCACGTGGGTGCAGAGGCCCAAGCACTTGGACCATCTTCCTCTGCTTTCGCAGGGACATTATCAGGGAGCTGGATTGGAAGTGGAGCAGCCAGCACTCAAACCAGCACTCATATGGGATGCTGGCACTGCAGGTGGTGGCATTACCCAGTATGCCACAGTGCCAGCCCCAATACTGATGTGTTTGACTTGACACTTTTTCTGCATGCTTACTTACCTTAACAAAATAATCAGTAATGTGCAAAAAATATTTGGATATAAAATTGTTTATTAATGTTATTTCAATAATGAAATACATAAATGTTATGATAGTAAGCTAACATTTATAATAGTGAAATAACATAGTGGTAGACCAGGAAAGCATTTGACAACCAGTGACTTAACACAGTGATGTGACTATACTGAGACAGCACAACTTACTGAAAAGACTACAGCTTTGAAGACTAATTCATTCAGTAGATCTCAGATGCAGTTGACTCATCTGTAATATTCTGAAAGCATTAAGATTTTGAAAATATTAATGTATCAACCTGAAAATATCTGGCATGTTGCAGTTGTTCAGATAATAGCTAATTCTGTATATAGAACCATCAAAACCTAAGTTGGAAGAGTTTTTAATGATGGAGAAAAAGTTGAGAATTCCATGTAAAAAGAAGATGTGAGGGAGCTTCAGAAAAGTTCATGAAAAAGTGAAACTAAAACTTGTTTTTGTACAGAAAAACTTGAAAATGCATGTTTAGTTTTCTCATAATACACATTTTCTATGAACTTTTAAAAGTACACTCATGCATGCACAGTAGTAAGGATGGGAAAAATTTGGCAAACTCAGTTGTGATTGCTCTGAACAGTAGAAGCATGGATAATGTTTTAAATTTCCTTTAGGCTCCTATGTATTTTTTGAATTTTCTGCATGATCATGTATTTTATCCCTTTTGAAAAAGGAAATTATTGAAAACAAAACAAAGGGAACAAACACAAAACCTTTGAAGTTCAAGGTGTTGGCTTTTTTCTTGAGTTTTGTCTTTGGACATAACTACTGAATTGGGGTTTTATATTAATTGTCTTTACCCTTACACTGCTTAAAATACTTGAACAAAAGTAGTATATAAAAGGAAAGTTATTTTTGCTAATAGCTCTGAACTATACTCATATTTGTGTTCATCAATGTGGAATTAACTAAAATAAGTCTTTTTTCCCCTCAGAAACAGCATTTAAATTTAAAGCTTTAAAGAAAGTTGCACAGTTAGCTGTTATAAATAGCTTGGAAAAGGTAAGCTACACCTGTTTCATGTTAAAATTTCATTTTTGGTTATAAATTTCACTGTCTTTAATATTTTGAATCAAAAAGTAATGACTTGAGTGAGTTTCAGTTTAATTTTTGGAAAAATGCATTGCAGTGTGCTTATGATGAAAACCAAAAGTTTGTGACATTTTATTTACTTACAGTAAGAAAAAGATTACTGCCTTCATATAAAAATATATGTTTGGTTATTTGCAGGCATTTTGGAATTGGGTAGAAAATTATCCAGATGAATTTACAAAGCTGTACCAGATTCCACAGACTGATATGGCTGGTAAGCATAATATTTTTTTTTAATCTTTGAGATTCTTAATTATGAGATAAAAACTTAGCACTTTCTAAGTTATTTTTGTTGAAAAGTGCTTTTACTTCTATTTTCAAATTTGAAATCCATGTATAGTTTTTTTTAATAATTTGTGTTTTCCATAAACTTTTTGTCAATAGGAACTACTGTTTTTCTATTATTCTAAATTACCTCCAACCGTTTCCCTACCTTTGAGCAAATAGATAATTTGAAGTGAAGCTCTAATCTTTTAAGAATTGTGATTAGATATTTGATGGCTGTTAGTTGTAGAGAAGCACTTTTTGTATTCTGAGGTTTTATTTTATATTTAGGGATATGTGTGTAAAGAATACTACTCTTACCTATGATAAAAGAATTCTTAGGACACAGTTGCATGACAAAGATTAAAGACTCCTGGAGAACTTTGGTAATGCTCTTTGAGGAGCTGTCCAGTCTGTTGCTTGGGTACCTTGCACTTTATATAAGGGCCTGCACATTAAGACTAAACACAAGGCCAGCCTTTCTACATTTCTACATTGTGGACTTTGCCAGGGTGGATCAACATAGCTCTTCTTACACAGGATGGTTATCTGCTTTCCTGAGTAAATGTGTGTAGTTTAAGTGAACTTGCAAGTTTATATTTTATAAATGTGACCTTGGGATAGTGCTGGCTTTTAAACCCTGGATTTTCTTCTCATCTAATAATGTCATTTAATGTTTATATTTTTCACGTAGAGTGCGCAGAAAAGCTGTTTGACTTGGTGGATGGCTTTGCTGAAAGCACCAAACGTAAAGCCGCAGTTTGGCCATTACAAATCATTCTTCTTATCTTGTGTCCAGAAATAATCCAGGATATATCCAAGGATGTGGTTGATGAAAACAACATGAATAAGGTGAGGAGGGCAAAATATTTCTATTATGTCCAGATGTGAAGTAGTTTGTTTCACTCAAATGTGTATTTTGGTCTTATCATTCTTTAAACAAACCATTTAAAGGACAGTTTTAATTATAATCATTTTAGGTTTCTTGGTTTGCTGGCCTTAGCAGAGACATACTTATACATTTTGTTTGGAAGAGGGATAGATAATACCAGCCAATCAATGATCAAAGATGTAAAACAATCACTTAGTTTCATTCTTCTACCAGAAAAGACTAAATAATGTTTCTGATAGTGGGTTTTTTTTTTGCTTTAATTTCTAATTTTTTTTTTTAATTTATTTTTTAAGGAATACAAATTTCATAAATACAACTTTAGGAATATAGTTATTCTTCCTACCATACCAGTCTTCCTACCCACACTCCCAACCCTCCTCTTCCATCTCCCCTTCCCAGTCCCATTCTCCATTAAGATTCATTTTCAATTAACTTTGTATACAGAAGACCTACTCTATACTAAGATTTCAACAGTTTGCACATGTGTGTGCATACATACACACACACAGTTTGAGAACTGGTTTTACAGTTAACTCTCAATAAAACTCATTGAGGACAGAGGTCCTGCATGGGGTGTTAGTGCACTGAGACTTCTGTTGTTAATTTAACAACTAACACTCTCCTGTATGACATCAGTAATCACTGGAGGCTCTTGACATGAGCTGCCTAGGCTATGGAAACCTTTTGAGTCCACAAACTGTCAGTATTTGGATGAGATCATAGCAAAGTGGAAGTTCTCTCCTCCCTTCTTTGATGGCTGCTTCTTTCCACTGGGGTCTTACAAAGATCCTTCATGTAGAACATTTTTTGCCACAGTGTCTTGGCTTTCCATGCCTGAAATGCTCTCATGGCCTTTTCAGCCAGACCAGGAAGCCTTTAGGGCTGATTCTGAGGTCAGAGTGTTACTTCAAGTGATTGTCATTCTGTGAATCTGCTGTGTGGACTGCTTCTCATGTTGGACATTCTCTCCTTTGTAATTCTATCTATTATAATTACCAGATACTTGATCCTATTTATATGATCTCTTTAACACTTAATCCTATCTATAAATTCACTTTAACTTTAAGATGGCATTTTGACCACCAAGTTTAATGGGATTTGGTGTCCCATGACAAGTTTTTAAACTATACCCTTAGGAGTGAATCTGTAGGAATGTATACAGAATTATACCACTTTACAGTTACAAGCTCCACCATAATCCGAGAAAATGCATGGTATGATTTTGGGAGTAGAGCCATTGATGTTAGAATAGAGGCTGTGATTACAAGGAATGAGGCCCTAAGTGTGATAGACAGGGTGTAGAACAAAGGACAGAGTCACTGGAGGACCGAAGAAAGGTGCTGTCTAAGCCAGTAATAAGTTTTCCAATTAAGAGGTCAATAGAAACTGACAGAAGGGGCCTGGTAATAATCTGGTAGGCTTTAAGGCCTTGCCAGTTATGAGGCCCAGATCTGTCTATCTCTTCACATGGAGTACATCCTAAGGGAGGTGTTACCTTCTTGAGAAGGCACCCTGTTGACTTCCATTACCTAGCCGGCCTGGGAGGAGAGCCGGCCAGGTGAAGGCAGGTGGTGTCTCTAACAGGAAATTTACAGTTCTGCTGGCAATGTTGCTGACCCTATTTGGCCATCCCCTTAGCAGTGGTGGTTACTTTGGAAGCTGGGCCGAGTGAAGGGCTTTTCAGCTTAGAGCCAGCAAGGTCTGTGTCTCTGACTTGAAGTCCTTCAACTCCAGAGCAGTTCTGTTTCCAGTGACCCAACTCTTGGCTGGAAGAGCTGCCAGGGCTCTTCATAAGCTGACTTTTGCTGAAGCCCTGGCTTTCCATATAAACCAATGCAGTGGACTGGCCTGTTGGGTCTCCTTGATAGTAGATCACTGTGCAGAGCAGCCATTAATTGGCCTGCCACCTATCTTTACATTGTTTCTGATACATAGCTTTCATCTCCTCCTGGTTTTTGTTAAAGCAGACCAGAGGATGCAAGTCAAGGGGTGGGGGGTACTCAAGTCCCATCTCTAATCTTTGTGGCCTAAACTAGAAGTCTATAGTCACAGGCATGTTCTGATAGTGGTTTTTCTGTGAGGTAGACAATGCCATGAGGAAAACTATGTCCTCACTTTAAAACTTTTCTCCTTTTGTTTAGTCTGAAAGAGAGGTTTTGCCTATTTTCTGTGCCCTTGGCAAAGTAAATCTAGCCATAAAATGGTAATGGAAGCTCTCAGTTTGGCTATGCTATTGCAGAAAATGTTAGCCATCTCTTTTATAACATCCTAAAATCAAGCTACATCCTGGAGAGTTCTTCAGTATAGAGTCAGTTTCCCATCTTGAAGAGAATAAAGAAATGAGGGAATAAGACAGGCTTCCCAGATTGCTTACTGACAATAACAGTATCAAATGAAAATTTACCAAGCAATTTCAACTATTAAATAACAACTTATGAAAACATTTACTGGAAGGTCCAATGCCTTCTATAAATTTTAAGGAAACATGAATTTGGAAACATCTCTTAAAGCTTGATTGACCAGCAAACTCAAACCCAAGCATATAAAAACATTTACAGTTCCTTTCTACCAATAAATTTCAATTTTTTTTTAATTTGCTGAGACTTGCATTATGGCCTAGTATGTGGTCAATCCTAGAGAAAGTTCCATGCACTGCTGGGAAGAATGTGTATTCTGCAACTGTAGGATGAAAAGTTCTGTAGATACCTGTTAGGGCCATTTGGTCTACAGTGTTGATTAAATCTGCTGTTTCCTTGCTGATTTTCTGTCTGGTTGATCTGTCCATTGCTGAAAGTGGAGTATTGAAGTCTCCTATTACAACTATATTTAAGTCTATGTCTCCTTTTAAATCTCTTAAGATTTCTTTTAAATAGCCAGGTGCCCTGTAATTAGGTGCATATATGTTTATAATAGTTACAAAATCTTCCTGTTAAATTGATCCCATTAATCATTACACAGTGCCTTTTTTTTTGTCTCTTTTAACACTTTCTGTGATAAAGTTTATTTTATCTGATATTAGGATGGCTGCACCACCTTTTTTTGGTTTCTGTTAGCATGGAATATCTTTTTCTATCCTTTCACTTTCAGTTTGCATGCATCTTTGTTGGTGAGATGTGTTTCTTGTAAGCAGCAAATAGATGGGTTTTGTTTTTTAATCCATTCAGCCTATCTTTTAACTGGAGAGTTGAAGCCATTTACATTCAAGGTGATTATTGATAAGTAATGACTTTACCCTGCCATTTTTCCAAAAATATTTCTGTTTTTTACTTTGAATTTCCTTTGAACTTTTACTGAGATTTTTTACCTTTACCTTCTTTCGTAGTGATGAACATGTTTCTGTGTGCAACACATCCTTAAGCAACTCTTGTAGGGCTGGACAGGTGGTGACAAATTCTTTGCTGTTTGTTATGGAAAGTCTTTATTTCACCTTCATTCATAAATGAGAGCTTTGCAGGGTATAATAATCTGGGTTGACATTTTATCTCTCTCTTTCTCTCTCTCTTTTTCTTTCTTTCTTTCTTTTTTTTTTTTTTTTTTTTTGACAGGCAGAGTGGACAGTGAGAGAGAGCGATAGAGAGAAAGGTCTTCCTTTGCCGTTGGTTCACCCTCCAATGGCCGCCGCGGCCGGCGCGCTGCGGCCGGCGCACCACGCTGATCCAATGGCAGGAGCCAGGTGCTTCTCCTGGTCTCCCATGGGGTGCAGGGCCCAAGGACTTGGGCCATCCTCCACTGCACTCCCTGGCCACAGCAGAGAGCTGGCCTGGAAGAGGGGCAACCGGGACAGAATCCGGCGCCCCGACCGGGACTAGAACCTGGTGTGCCGGCGCCGCAAGGCAGAGGATTAGCCTAGTGAGCTGCGGCGCCGGCCCATTTTTTCTCTTAAGACTTGGATATATCTTGCCATTCTCTCCTAGCCTGTATGGTTTCTGATGAGAAGTCTGCTGTGAGTCTAATTGGAGATCCTCTAAAAGTAATCTGGAGTTTATTTCATGCACATTTTAGTATCTTCTCTTTATGTTTCACTGTGGTCCGTTTGATTACTATGTGTTGTGGCGAAGATCTTTTCTGGTCATGTCTCTAGGAGTACTATGTGCTTCTTGTTCCTGGATGTCCCTTTCTTTCTCCAAATTAGGGAAGTTTTCTGTTATTATTTCACTAAAAAGGCCTTCTAATCCTCTGTTTCCATGCCTTTAGGAACTCCTAAAACCCATTTGTTGGGTTGTTTTATAGTATCCTGTAGATTCCCAACAGTATATTTTAGTTTTTTAATTTCTTCTTGTCTTTGGTTTGACTGTATAATTTCCTGTGCTTTGTCTCCAAAGTCCAATATTCTTTCTTCTGCTTTACCAATTCTGTTGTTAAGACTGTCCACTGCATTTCTTATTTGTTCTATTGAATTCTTCATTTCATTTTGATTTCTCTTTAAGATCTCAATTTCATGGTAGAAATTTTTTTTCATGTCCTATATGGTTTTCAGTAGTTCGTGCATTTGCTTCTGATTACTTCTGTGTAATCTTCTGATCACTTTTTTGAATTCCATTTTTTGCATTTTCTTCCATCTCATCATCTTCACAATCTAGTATTGAAGTGTTGTGTTTTTTTAAACTTTTATTTAATAAATATAAATTTCGAAAGTACAACTTTTGTATTATAGCACTTTTTCCCTTATAACCTCCCTCTCACCCACAAGCACCCCATATCCCACTCCTTCTCCCATCCCATTCTTCATCAAGATTCATTTTCAATTATCTTTATATAAAGAAGATCAACTTAGTATATGCTAAGTAAAGATTTCAACAGTTTGCACCCACACAAATACACAAAGTATAAAATACTGTTTGAGTAGTGTTTTACCATTAATTCACATAGTACAACACATTAAGGACAGAGATCCTACATGGGGAGTAAATGTACAGTGACTCCTGTTGTTGATTTAACAATTGACACTCTTATTTATGAT